CTATGTCTTCTCCTGTCTTTTCTCATGACTACCCAAGTTCCCACCCACTCCAGTCAAAGGCCATCTGCAATTTCTCTCTGAGGCAGAGGCTACTGATCCCCTCCTGATGCTGTGATAAAGAACAGCACATACAGAGGACACTAACAATTCTTTTCCATTCATGACCTAATTCTGATCTCAAAAATGTGCAGGACAGAAGTCTGGAAAGAGCAACCCATTGCCACATTTGGAGCTGGTCTGAGAAGACAAACATCCTCCCAGCCTGTGTAACTTGCAAGGAAAGAATTAAAACAGTAAGACAAAATTAAGCAATGGTATAATTTACTGCTTAGAATTTACTAATATCCAACCTAGGAAGAGCACCAAGGGCTATAAACATTTCGAGACACTTCACTATGTTTTATCACTATATTAAAGAGTACTTGCCTTTTAACACTTATTTAAGAAAATAAAAAACTTCTGAGCAGTAGTTTCCTGTGAAGACATAAATTAGCATGTTCTGATCAGCCACAGTAAGTGCAGTACAAGCATCTTCATGTCAGAATTATATAGACCAAAGCCTACATGTACTTTTAGCTATGCTCGGTGCATTTACAGAACAATCCAAATCTGGAAGGAGAAGGATTAACTGATGCTTCTGACATTACGGTGCAGGTCTGAGATTTGGGACATAAGATTTCAGCTCTGCCTCTGCCTGCCTGCACAGCCACAGGCATCTCACTTAACCTCACCGTATTTCAACTCTTTATCTATGAACACATGGTAAAAATGCCTCTTTCGTTGCCAAGATTAATTCACATTGTGTTTAAGAGCCCACAAACTGGTTCCACACACAGAGGAAAGCAATTTGACATTTCAGCAGAGATAAACTACACTAAAGAGCTTATATTACAAGGGCTCAACTCTGGCAGATACTAAGTACCCTCTTTTCCACTAAACCCGTCTCCTGCAGTCAGCAGCTCCCTCAGCCCCTTCAGAGGCACGTTACCCTTGCCACCCAATGCCACATCAATGCTATTTGCTTAATGACTCGTGTCAGTTCCAACCTAGGTGCAGAATGAGGTCCAAGCACTAAAGCAGATGACATCAGGTATCTGAATCCATCCCTGGAGCTGTTAAACTTGGACTATAGCTCCTTGCAACAGGCTAAAGGAATCCTCCCACTGAGCATGCAGAGGCCTGAGGACCGTGTGTCTAACGAGGCTGTATCCCCACTCATATTTTAGCTTGGCAGGTCTGGTGCTCCTTTCATCTTTTGCTTCAGGTAGCTCTCTTTAATTAATAACATTTCTGAGTCGACACAGGGAACTTTCCACCCAGAATGAATGGCCCTCTCTCATTAGAACCATGACTTGTCATGATGTATTCAAGAGCAGAAGTGTGATTCATTCCCTTGTCTGGGAATGAGGGGTGTTGCTAGAGGGTGGGGGATGGGGGGTAGAAGAGTCTCTGTAATGAGTGACTGATATTTGCTGAGGCTGATATGCAACTCTGTCGGCTTGAACTGCCTTGTCAGGACAAGCCTTCAAGAAAGGTGATGTTCCTACTCAAGAGGTTTTCCTCATTAAAGAAATTGCATCTTAACAAGAGGGAAGGGGAGGGCTGGCAGGAGAGCTGCTGTCTCCCCGACTCCAGCCTGATTCACACACACCAAGAACTGAAAGCAGGTTGATCCAAGCACAGCCAGTAGAGGATCAGCACTCCATTTAGGAGCCCTCTCACACAATGGACTCTCTCCAGCAGCAACCAAATCCCTCCAACAGGTGCACCTTCTGATGGCACACCACACTCATGACAAAGCCTTTGGTAGCATGGCCAAGGACCTTGACTCATGCTAAACCTCCATAAGCCCTTCCCAGATGCTCGGTGTTCTGGGCACCCAGAACTTCCTATTCCGGGCACCCAGCTCCTGTGACTAGTGCTCCCTGCTGTCTGAGGGAAGACAGACAAACAGCTCTGTGGTTCAAGGAAGCTCCAGTGTTCAAGAGCAATCAAGTCTGTAGCCAAACACTGCCTCATTTCCTGAAGATCCCTAAGCCAAGCAGAGGCTTTACTGATCCTTTAGCAGCTGAGTTTACATCTTGAATCCTGCGGACACAGCAGTGCCAGACACCATCAGCAGAGAGCAGTACCCAGACAATCGCTATTGCTCCGGTGCTTTTGTTTGAGCTAAGAGTGCTACACACATTGCAACTCCTGGCTTAGGCAGGGCTATTTCCCCACCTTATCTCTATATCTAACTCTCACAGGCTTGGAAGATTCCTCCTCCTTGTTACAGCGACTTCCCCGCATTCAGCTTGCTCATCCCACTGTGCCTCCCTGGCACCAACCAGTGGTACCTACTGGAAGCCTTCACAGTAGACAGGCCAGTTCAGAAGATACAATGCCTCAGCTCTAGAACAGCACATGCAGACAGAAGCCACACTAAACGCCCAGGTCACTGCTGGAGAAGCCATAACAAAGCTGCATGGTTTACCAGCTAAGGTAAGGACAATGGAGTACAGGAACTCCAAACCACTCAAGACATGGGTAAGAGGACTGCAGCTATGCAAGCAGCTGTCATCACCAAGGAAGCTGAGAAAACAAAGAGCAAAGTTAGGAGCGGACCTGTCACAAATGGTGGCTCCTTAAGCCAGGAAGCGTTGCACTCACCTCAGTGTCCTCAATTCCTCTGGAACCCAGCCAGGTTTTCTACCATGCAGTGCTTCCAACAACACTCCTCCAAACCTGAACAAACAGCACCACCTCCCTTCCTACTGCCCCAATACCTTTTGTGACCAGCGTGTGGTCTCATCATGGTAGCAAAGGGCATCAGCTACACCCCAGGTCTTGTAGGGAAGCATGGGGTGATTCCCTGGAATACTTCATGGATGTTCCATGTCTCTGAGGCTCTGTCTCCCCATCTAAGCAGCCTTGTTTCAGCTCTCCACTTTCTTCCTTTAAAAAGAGATGCTCAGTTCTGCTTTGCTAAACCCTATTTGGCAATGTGTCTAAACACACGCAAACTTAATTAGTTCAGGAGGGAGACTCGGCATTTGTGGTGACGGATAAAAGTAATGGGAAATGAGACAAGTCAGAGCTGGCAGGGAGTCCTCACTCGAGCCTCATCCACTGGCACGGTGCTAATCAGATGTGACGCTACACGCTGCAGCACCCAATCGGCGATGGAGCAGCGTGATGTGCTACTCACCAGGCAGCTGCAGCCAGACTCCTGCTATCCATGTGCTTGGAAACACAGAATGTATTTTCTGCTTTGCCCTGGAGATGCTTCAGGATTGAATTCTGAAGTTAATGGTTTAAAACAAAATTTTAAAAGGAAGAGGGAGAAATGAACCACTCTCAACAACCTCATGGCCAGGAGTGGAGTCTTCTTTTCCAGCTGACTAGTGAGGGACAATCCATGCGAGAGATCACTGCAAACAGTGAATAGTGTATCTCCACTCTGGAACAGCTCATGTCCCTCTGAGCCAGCTCACCTCACAACCCCTATGACTCACCAGAAATGGGGCTCAGATTTACTTCTATTTGCCCGCTGTAGAGCTCTGAAGAAGGAAAAAAAGAAAAGCCACTCAACACTTCCAGGTTGTTCCTTCTATATGGACATCAAGTTAGGATGTCATTACCTGGGAATCTTGAGAGCACTGTGAAAGTGATGGAAAGATGGGCTTGCAGCAAAGACAACTGTTTCTCACAATCATCAACAAAGTTGTAATTTGGACTCTCACAACAGCAATACAGGAGTAAAGAACAGAGAAAATAGAATACATGAGAAACAGAAGTTTAGCACAGCAACTGTGCTGGTCTCTAACAGAAGCCTAAACATTATATATAAAGAAATATAACTCACTCCTAATTTAAGCAACTAACATAGGAACTTGCAATATATATGAACTCTGGACACAACCTGAGCAGAGAGACAGATTCTGACTCAGAAGTTCAAATACCACCTCTCTGTCTCTGTCTGGAGCCAATTTCTCATCTCCACCAGTGCTTGTGCTGAGCTTTGGACCCCATATCTCATGTTTCACTAATTACACCAAGAAAAGGCAAGGACCTGACACTCTGCAAAGACTACTCGTCAGGGAAGAACTGGTGCTGATTGCTCCTAGACGATGTGCAGTTTATTTAGGCTTCCAGCTTGGGGAAACCAATGTCACAGTGAAAACCAAGTAACACTACTAACGAGTTGTGGCTGTCAGTTTAGGATGGGATGTGTCAAACCCGTGCTTTACTGGTGTGATAACAACAGGAATCTTTATCCAGCACCACAGGGAAATGAAAAGCTGAAGCAAGATTATATGAATCCAAGGGAATTCAGCTCTGTAGGACACTGATCTGCAAACACTTTGAAGATTGAACTAATTTAATTTTTGGACATTTACTCCACTCTTATAATAACATTTTTCGGTTGTGGCCTAGCTACTTTTCTAAGAAAACATGCTCATACATTGACACTTGCAGATCCCAGTGCAGGTTCCCACCTGGTACTTGCCACATATTCACCCAGCTGATGAAGATAACCTTAATAAGAGCACCATTGGAGCATGCCAGACCTATATTCTTGTATTCTGTTCCAAAGACTACTCTGTGATTTACATTGAGTTACTGTGCCAAGATGACCGAAAAAGCCTTAAATGCAGGAAGTCAGGTAAGGATCATCACTTGATCATCCATGTATGCACTCAAAAATATCCATCCCTTTGGAAAGTATACTGGATAAAATGCAAAAAGTCACGAAGCTCAAGTTTAAACTTTTCTTGGGGTTCTGAAAGGCTTCACTCACTACAGGGAATATCCTCGGCAGTGATCTTGCACCATGCCCAGCACCCACCTGTCTTCTGAAACAATTCTCCTCTCCCGATTACTCATGGCAAACAACAATTTCCGTAAGAAACAATGCCTAGGGACAGCTGGAGGCTTGCAAGGACAAAGGCATATGCACTGCAGGCAAGCATGGAGCAATAAAACCCAGGAAAATCTTCCTCCCCTCCCATACTCACATCACTTTCAAATCCCAGTCTCCACAGGTCACAAAAATCGACTTGACGCTGGGATCTAAGAGGCCTTCCTTTGCCATCCACTCGTCAACCCTCTGAAAGGAAGGCAAGAAAAGGGGATGAGTTTTGCAGAGACAGGCCAAGCCACAACAGTTTAACTCAGATAAGCTGCTTGCAATCAAGAGAGAAGAAAATTGTGATCTTATCCAACCTCTCCCTCTCTCTCTTCTCTCTTTGCTTGCCATCTCAACAACAGCACGTTTGGACCTTTGAAGATTTCTGATAGGAGACATCAGGCAACCAGAGGAGAGATGATCTTATCAGACACGCAGCAGCTCTGCTTGTGGAGGGATGAAAGTTGTGCAGCGTTAACAGGACGATACAACTGTGCTGTTACCTGGCATTTCTCCTCTCCCTGTACCAAAGAGGCTCAGAGGCAACGTAACTCGTGTCCCCTCCAGTGAGGAGAAAGACAGGTATATTGAGATGGCATCCCTCCCCCACAGCATTTCTCACATACTCTAATTCATATAGCAGCAGGGGAATATGGGAAGGGGGAAAAAATGGAAGGGCTTGGCACACATAGGCACTGTGTGGCAGTAACAAGCAAAGCCAGGGGTCCCCTTCCTCTCCAGGTTGGATCCCTCTCTCCTTCCTACAGTTCTGAAGAAATGCTTGTTCAGGACAGTGTGGATTTAAAGTCTGATCAGCTCCCCACAGGGGTCGTCTTCAAAAAAGGGCCATGTAAACCTGGAGGATGCAATCCGCCTCAGAGATTAGGGAATTAATCTAGACTAGAAGCCCTGCATAGACAGAAGTCCTGCATATTCACTTATTCCAGCTAAAACTAACAAACAACATGCCCAAAATCTTGCAGTGGTAGGCAATCAGATGTATTATGTAACTTCACAAGCAGAATTTTCAATGCTTGAGCAACAGAAATCCCTCCTCTTTTCCCTTGCTTTCACTCCTGAGTAAACCAGCATTCCTCAGAAGCTGCCTGACCTGAATCTCATTTTAACCTAGAAACACGCTGCTGTAGGAACACCTCTTCTGTCCAAATAAAAAAAAAAATTCTACATAAGTGTTTCCACACTCTAAGAAGCTTTCACAGAAACGAACAAACCATCTTCTGGAATACTCCAGCAGTGACCTACATTCACCCATCCAGGCAAAGAGAGCTCACCCTCCTGGGGGAAACAGGCACATGCATCCATATTTTTATGGACAAGCAAGACTGCTATATGCTCTCTGGAGAGCTGAGGGTTTGCATGGATGTGAGACATCACCTCTGCAGAGCACCATCTTCAGTCTCATGTCACTGCCACAGCCTTTCCTCCCAGGGGTCAATGCTTCTTCCTGTGACCAACTGTACAATAGCTCTCTGAGTAAAACTCTCCAGAAAAGCAGCATCCAGCCTCTCAGCCACACTCCCTTTGGCTGACAGGATCTCCTAGCCAGCCTCACATGAGCCTGCCCAGAGTTGGGGACAGCAATGATAACTTTTCTAAACTCCCTGACGTGAGCACCCATCAAGTGCTGTCTCCATGGAGGATTTTAACGCCTTTAATTTGATTTTCTCAGATAAGCAATTGTTGCAATTATTCTGATTAGGAACAATTAGGTAACACAGCAGTGGAAATCCTGACAGAGACGACGACGCATCCAACACCAACCTGCAGCCCAAATAGGCTCTGCTTGAGGAGGTCTCCTTTGCTATGTGACTACCAACGAAAGCTATTGATGGAGAAATACTTCGAAGCTAATTAAGCCTTAAATGCTCTAGGAATTCCACATTAAGCAGATGGTATTATTAGGGATGTATCTGCACTCACACATCCTTTAGATTAGATTTCAGAGGCATTTTCTTTCTATACTACATGTATTATTAAGCATTTAAATAGGTAGAAAAAATAATTTAATAAAGTGCTGAGGGAGGGAAAAAGAAATGAAAGCAGAATCTCCAGGAGCAGTGGTCTTGAGCAATGTCTTGGTCCTTTAAAACAGGCTCAAGAAAGAATCGCCTCTTCTCATATCTACTGGCAGGAGTTTGGATATCTTGTCAGCACCCTTGACATGAACAGCTGGAGATGACAGATCAATGGTTCAATAATCTCAGCAGTGTGTCACCAGTGTGACAGCAAATGTTATTCTAATGAAGCTGTAATCATAGTCAAATTACGCGGTTCGATTCTCAGCAAGGGGAGGGTGCAGGGAAAGAGATGAAGAGGGGACTACAGGACCAGAGGTCAGAGTTTGAGAACTAAAGGTTACTTTGCTTACCTCAAGCACTTGCTGGAGGCTTGGCTGCCCATCCACCATGCCTTGAATAATCCCAGTCAGCTGAAACAGAGACAAACGGAAAGCAGTCATCAGAGCAGCACTCAAAAGATCATTAGAGAGGTCTACTCTCCTGTCCATCTTTCTGCAACCAAAACATGCTCATGTGACCCTCACAGGTGCTGCTGAGGAACCAGCCACAGCAGAGTGACCCTGGCAGCTCCCCAGCCACAGGCAAGGGCACAGCTTCATCCCAAACACAAAAATGTAGTGAGGCTCTTACCCACAGCACAAAACTGCAAATTCTCAGCATGGCAGGGTTCACCTGGGGAGCAGCGTCATGCACAAGCATGAGGCCCTTTTTCAACATGCCTTTCAGCAGCTTTGGTGTTACCTTGATGTACACACGCAGAGGTAACCACCAAGGTCTCTGGACATTCCTCTGCTATCACAGTGACACCAAAATGTCAGTGTTAGATGAACCAAATAGAGGAGTATTAGTGAGACCTAGAGTGCCAGCCATCCTCCCCTGAGCTGGACAGCCACTGTGCACTTTTCCATAGTCCACCATAGCTTTCCTCAGTAGTTCAAAACTGTATTTAAAATAATGGAATGAAATCTGAAGAAAAGCACTTTCTTCCAGAACCCTGTCTAGTCTGTTTTCAAGGAGGTTCCTTAGGAAGAGGTCCTGCCAACAGGTAGTCCTACTGATTCTCCTAGACTGCTTGGCTGTTCAAAGCTAAAAGCATGCATTAAAACATGCAGTCTCATGGGCCTCTGCCTGTGTCTGCCCAGGAGAGCTTGAGGCACATGGAAAACAGATAATTTTTCTGCCTGCCTTCCAACTGACAAAACTGTCTTTTAACATATTGAATATTGGAGTTCAGTAGCTTGCCATCAATGCACCCAAGTAATTAAAAGAACCATTATTAAAACAAGTGCACACTATGGGATTTCACTTCCTATGGCACTTCCCTGATGCTACATATCTCACACGTTTTCATAAAATAAAGGTCAAGCACAACCTAGAAGCATCCATGCCTCTGGAAGCCATATCATCCAGTTGAGAGATACTGATGGCCCCACCATCACTCAGCAGTAACTCTTCCACACAGACCAGTTCAACCTACTTGTACACCATAAGTCCTCTCACAAATCACAGGGCTCTGCTTTATTAAGTATGTGGCAACTGAAGGAAGCTAAATGGTTTCTACCTCTCAGTTTCTTTGGCTGCTTGGCTTACAGCACTGAACTTGGAACATAGAAAAAGAAACGATATTAAACTCCAATTAAACTGTAATTACATTTAATGAATACCAAATACCTGCCTCACTGAATAAACTGTAAGTGGAAAGATTATTTTCTCATAGTGACTCCCATGAAATGGCAATACATACCTTTTAGGGAAAGTATTTTAATTTTAACAATGCAGAGCACCTCTAGGTGTGTTTCTCAAGTTCATCAAACCATTATGAAGTGGAATTTTGAGAAAGTGGAGGGACACAGGCACTCTTTTATATTCAGAAACAGTTTTTATATTAATCTGTGTTTTAATTGGGTTAGCAGCTGCTACCTACAGACTTCTATACTCTGAGAAGCAAATAGGTTTGAGGAATTAAAACATGGCTCTTTAGAGCAGTTATTAAAGCTCCCTGGCATGGTTTTTGCCTTTCTTGCCATCTTTTTCTCCAGGCATTCTTCTGGCAGAGGTGGACAGCTCACCGATTGCAAAGTGCTGGTTCTGCCTTTCAGATAGCAGCTGAACCCAAATCTCTGGAAGTGACTGAAAGGTGTGTTTGGAAAGGAACACAGAATCATAAAAAAGTTTGTTTTGGAAGGAACCTTTAAAGTTCATCCAAACCAACCTCCCTCGCAGTGAGCAGGGACATGTTTAACTAGATCAGGTTGCTCATAACCCTGTCCAACCTGACTTTGAATATTACCTTTCTGGCAACCTGTTTCATCACCCTCAATATAAAAATCTTCCTCTGTATACTTAGCTGACTAGTTTAAAGTCATTATTCCTTGTCCTGTCACAATGGGGCCAAGCAGAAAAGTCTATCTTAAGTACTAGATGTTTGCAATAAGGTCTCTTGGGAGACTTCTCCAACCTGAACAACCTCAAAGCTCCCAGCCTTTCCTTACAGGAGAGGTGTTCCATCCCTCTGCTTATCTTCATGGCTCTCTTTTGAACCTGCTCCAAGAGGTCCAAGTCTTTTCTGTATTAAGGATGACAGGCATTCTTTCACTATCTCAGCCAGTACTGATGCAAATGGCTTCTACCATTCCAGGCACCCTCAGGACTGTATCTGTGTAGCAAAGCACCTGATGTCATGGGAGGACTGAGTATAATGGCCTCATCCAGACATTTCCCATCAGGAGGAGGGAGGGATATGAAGGTGGATGCAGACATGCCACCAAGAGTCATGTATTCTTGCCCAAAACTCCTTCTTTCCTTCCCTGCCATGGCAAGCAAAGTACCAGTCTGTCTGTACAAGGACACATGGCCAAGTATATGCACACAAAATTCACGCTGCAGAAATCACACACATGAACACAAAGGAATCTATCTCCTCCATAGGTATATTTCAATGCAGGTCAGAGAGTTCTCAAACTGGACCAGATTTCTACTCTCTCATCCTTTCTGATACATTTTATTATCAGTTATGTCCATCTGCCACATCTAACTTAGTGCATTGGATCTCTGCAGCATTATCTGGTCCTGAAGCTTTGAAAAAGTATAAAAACATAAAACTGCACAATTGTAAAATTTCACTGGTTATCCCAATAAGCATGAGGTTCTTGGGAACACAAGCAAGCTATAATGCCTTTATTTTTTATATTTTCATTGTCTATTCCTTCAGGAAAAAATCAATAAAAATAAGTCATAAAAAGAAAACAAAGTATCATTAAAAGATCTGTACAAGCACCTTGCATGTAGAGGGAACCTCTCCTTAAGCTCCTGGCAAGAACCTTCTTGGGAACCAGAAAAATCCTCTGCATCTTCCAAAAGGGTGTGATGAGCTTTATATACCTAAACACAGCTTTTAACAACTTGCAAACACTTTCCATCTTCTGCACCTAAGCATTCAGCTCACCCCTCACAACAACCAAGGGTTCATGACCTGTTGTTTTATAGAAGCAGGTCAGGAGAAAGGGGTCGAGATGAGGTTTCAGAGTGAGCCAGCACTGGAAGATAGCTCCTGGCCATTGGTGTGGGGAGTTGGAGAAACATCATGTAGCCAGAGGAGAGCACAGATACATCAAAAGGTAAGCAAAGTGATGTCTTACGGGTGGCAACGAGCTCTCCACCCTTCCAGGCACCCTTCCCATGCTGTGCTGTTGTCTTCAGGAAGGAAGAGGGATGGAAGAGGTACTCCAAACCCAAGGAGTAATGTCAAACAAGCCCAGTAACCCTTCCACACAGACGCACCTCCTCTACACCAAGCAGTTCTACTGCTTAGCAAAGGCAGAGGGGAGAGGAGAAATCAGCAGCACAGCAGACAGGCTCCCATGTAATGTCAACACCAGTGCTTTTCCTAGAGAGTTTATCTGGAAAAGCATCGTATTTCTACTTCAAGACAGTTTGCTGATTACCTAAGCACTTGTCTCTGGTGTACAATCTGATAATCAGGCCTGGTCTTTCTTTGTAGACAAAGAGGCCAATAAATCTCACCCTTTGTAAGTAGAGGTGCCTAGACAAAGCCCTTTACTGGCATTTAGCAAAATGAGTATTTTTCAGAAAACATAAACCAGTAGAAAGTCAATAAGAAGTGTCGGAGGAGTTCAGGCAGCAGCTCTGCAAAAGCACATCCTGGCTGTGTCCTTGGGGTCTCAAACAAACCTACACCAGCAGCACAAGGATGATCCCTGCACCTATCTAGCAGCACCCCACTGTTTAGTAAGGTTCACCTGTGGCTCTCAGGGCAGGCTTTCAAACTCAGCCCCATATACGGGCCCCAGGAACAAGCCCAGTTACACCTCCAGCATGATCCCACTCTTGGACCTCTTGGCAGCCCCTCCAACAGGCCAGGGGACTGCCAAGCCAGGAAGGACAGAGGCCATGCTGGGCATTAAGTAGCAAGGGGTACAATGTGGGGGTGACTAGGAACCAGTGATGGCAAGGCTAGGATTAAAACCAGCTTCCTAATGCATGCTGTTATTAACAGAGGACTTGCCAAACCTGGTAGTGGGGCATTTTTGTACCACTGATACACACAAATCAGGGTTTTGCAATAATTTTGCCTGCTGGCCTCAGTACTGCCCATTTTCACCCAACTCTGGACATGATACCAGACCAAGGTTCTTGGCAGAGTCTACAATAGAATGCTGACCTGGGACACCTGTGTCCATTCTGGACTCCTGTAAAAGCACAGCCATCACAGACACACACACAGACACACTCAGCTTCACTTGCTTCAAGGCTCCACACAGGAGACACAAACACCTGCTCCAGACCCCGAGAGCAAGAGAAGACCAAGAAACCATCACTGCAGTACAGGAGCATTAGATGGGCTGACTGCTGGTCACAAGGTCATCATCCAGAGAACCTCTGAATATCTAGATTGCAGCAGGCTGGAGGCTCTGTTCAGCTCACGAAGCTGAACCACAATCACGTACCAAGCAAGTCATGCAGGCTCTTGTGCAAGAATAGAAATGCAGTCTTTAGCAACAGGAGAAGGGACGCAATGGAGAGATTTTCAGAAAATGGAGTTTTGGTGGGAGTTAATGAGACAACTTCTCTTCAGAATTTAGGTGACTTGCAAGGCCAACATTTTGGGCTCAGCCCTAGAAGATGACGTTGTCTTTAGCAAAGATCAGGTGCAAGCTGTGAGATTTATCACGTTTGTACAAGCATATGTCCAGCAAGTCTCATGGGGATAAAGACAGCCAAAGTAGTCGTCCAGCCTTCTAGCATTAAGGTTGCAAAACCATTTCCATTGTAACTCTCTGTTCTCACACATTTATAGATTTCTGAAAGTTCTTCTCTGGGGAATAATGTTTTCTGTGCTTAGCCTTTTTTTTTTTTTTAAGTTTAAATAAAATACCTTCAGATGGTTTTGAGTTACAGGAGAATAAAAATAAGTATTTGTTTTTACAATGTGAAAATATGAAAGGGGCTGGTTGGTTCTGGAGAAGACTCCACCTAACACAGAGGAGTCATTTTTCATCAGGCTAGTACAGGTGGGACAAGCCCTCCACAGGCTTAAGCCTGTAGCCACAGAGGTAGGGGAAAACACACCATGGTGTTGATAATCCTAGACAAGACAGGGACAGAATGAAGAATACACTGATTCCCACAGTCAGTATTTTAGTCATTGAGCTGGCCAAAATTGAACCAATAGACTGACAGGAAAAAAAGCCCAAAGCAAAAGGAACTTAAAGTTTCTTTTGATGATTATGGCAGGGAGAAAAAACACACTTGTGAAAACAGTTAATTTTTTGGGTTGAATAAAAGAAAAAACAAAAAAACACCCCAAATCAACAACAAAACCCAACCCCTGCTCCTCAATTCCTTTGAACCCTCAGGGATCACATTTACCACCTTCATTCCATATCTGGGGAAAGGCAGCCACAGCTCAAGAGCAGCTGTCCTTGGCAATGAGAGTAAGCAAGTAAAGAGAGGCCACTTCTCCAGCAATCATTTCAAGTGGCCAACAATTACAACATCAAAAAGAAAGTCTGGAAAATACAGACATGAATTGTCCTACCACTCTGAAGGACTCCTCAAATTCCAACATGCAAGCCCACAGGAGAGTAATTTAGTGCCTCTGAACCACACATCTGCACAGCACTGTCTTTCCTCAGTCCATGCTCTCTTCGACCACCCCCACGACAGAGGAGCACAGCAAAATCACAAGAGCTTATAAAGAGGTTACAGGATTTTGAACATTGGCTAACAGGAGTGTGTTTATTTGGTGGTCACCCAATTAAGGCATTTGTTAGCTGTAAATACAATTATCTTAGTTAGCAGACCAAAGCTAGAGTTATTTATTAATCCAAACAGAGGTCTTTACACACTAATGTAAAAAATTATTCTCTTTGTCATTAACTCAAGGCTAGCATGACATGCTGCCTTGCAGCTGCACCATGAAGAGGCGACCCAAGTCCCTGGTGCAATGGAAACCTGCTTCCCAGAGAGACTCTTGGAGCACCTGGGAACCTTTGCACTTTACCTCTGTACAGAAGGGCGTAAGCTGGGGATGCACCACAGGCTGAACATACATGTGAAAGGTGGATTCGATCTCCATCGTCCTGCCATTCAGCTTCAGGATAGGGAATTCGATGATTTCCTGAATAGGGCAAAAAGAAAAGCAGCTGTTCATTTAAAACAAACAAGAGATGAAGCTGGAAATTATCCCATCTAGCAAGGTGGCCTGATAGTCCCAAACAAAAATAAACTCAACACAGAACTCTGCAGAAGTGGGAAGGTGGTACTGCAGCACAGAGCACATCCAACACTGTTAGAACAGACGAGGATGGTGCCGATGCTCATCGCAGCAAGGACAGGCTGCAAGGAAGTCTCTGTGCTCAGCACTGCAGCTGCACACATCACTGCCTAAGCTGAACCTAAGGAAGGTGATCTCACACCACTCCCATGTGCTACCCAGGGAACGTGAAGCTGTACTTGCAAAGGGCTCACAGCTGTTTAGCAAGGACATCACAGGTGCTGTGCCCTCTCCAAGACCAGTCTCAACCTTTCCAGCCCACCATCCTTTTAGTGGACATAATCAGACAGACAACAGGGACTACTGCATGAAGCACCTCCATCTCTGGAGAGGTGGAGGAAAACTGCCCTCCTCCAACAGACTGAGAAGAGGAGCTGAAAGCTCCCCCCAGATCCATCCCTATGGGATACAGCATAGTAGCAAGCCCTTCTTCATTTTCCTCTTTGTAGCCAATTTATGCTGATAGGGAAATAAAAACGTTCCTTCATCAGAAGAATGTTCAATTATTTGAATAATCAGCAATCAAAAATTTACATGGACCTGCTAATAAAAAGTTTAAACAAATCCAGTTGCGATGGATTTCTCAATTATTAAAAAATATACATGAAATTAAAAAAGCCGCCCACTGAATAAAAGCGATAAAATCCTTTGTGTTCACCCCCCTCCTTCTCCACTCCCTTTCTTCTTTCCAGTTTAATGTAAGAGGAGAAGTGACAATTTGTTTGGTGTCTTTAAAGAATAATTTGTCTATGTTATTTAATAGAGATCCATGGCACCAAGGTTCTGGAGTGCAAATGAGCCCGCTGAGTGATATCCATGCAACAAGCCTCTCAAATCACTTCTGGAGAAAAACAGAGAGAGGGAGAGAGAATAAAAAAAATATTGCTTTTTAATATTCAAAAACAGTTTGCAAAATTTAATCAAAGCAGAGCAAAAGCTAACATTTTTACCACTTTGACATTTTTATTAGTGCTTTCATAAATTTTTAAAACATGAACGGAATTAGTTTAACAACAAAAAAAAACTGCCTGAAAACATCTGGAAGAGACAAATAAGAAATAATAAAAAATGAAAAAAGAATCCAACTCCTGTGAGTAAAATTAGCATGTGAAAAATGCAGCCGCTGCAGAGGAACTAACACAGTTTTTTGGACCATGGTTGCAACCCTCATGACCTGCAGGCGGAAATTATCAAGAGGTTACACATATGAGCTGATGACATCACCACCCCACTAGGCAGCGGGAGGGCAAGAAGCTGGGTGGGTAAATGGAAACAATGGATAATTTAAATAGCCAGGAGAAACACCCAATTTCCATGGTGGACAGAGCCCAGAGACATAGCAGAGCAGCTCCCCAGTGAAGCAGGGGCACAACCCAGATCAGGGCACGTGGAGAGCACGTGCTGCTGAGATGGAGGGTTAGAAAAAAATATAAGAATCAAATAAAGTGTTAACAGTGTGGAAGTGCCCAGGTGTAGACATTGAGCAGTGAAGCTACACAGAACGCATGGCTTAAGCATTTCCTCATGGTCAGCTGTGCCACACTCTCTGCATGCTGCGCTGGATAAGGCAGAGTGGATGGCTGGGCACATCCTTCCCCAGAGCCATACCACCCCAATGGGAGTCACCAAGTTTTCCCAGGAAAGAGAGCAAACTTGACCCAAGGGCTCTAAGGGAAGGAGAAGATACATGCCAAACACTTGAGTATTAGCCAGATGGCCTGTTGTGGTGCAGCCAAACTCACCAGCTTCAGCCACCCAGGAGGACCCATGGAAACCCAAGAGAGTAAGAAATGCTAGATACAGCTGATCCTCCCCTCAAAAGGGCCACCACAGACAGGCTCTGAAAGCAGCAAACTTCTGTTCAGAAGGAAAACAGACTGCAAAGTTTGAAGTCAACGGACAGGCTGCCATAACAGAGCCAGGCTTAACCTCAGGATAACACCATCCCATCTTTCAAATTGGTCTGGGGCATCACACTGCCCCTTAGGCCAGAGGGTGACCATGGAAGCAGGCAAGCCCACGGCAAGGCAAGAACACTTCCCTTTCCAGAGAGGGACACACACCAGCTGGATTGCATAGCAGGGCTGTGTTGCAATGCCAGGATGTGCCCTAAGGGACCACAAACATCCTCAGGTGCCATCAACTGGCTGGATGCAAAGTGAGACTGAAAGACAGCCTGCTGCTGATCTGGTACACAAAGGCGTCTCTCGCCTTCCAGAACCAAAGGCAAAAAGCACTTCAGGAGGGTCAGATTAAGACAGACGGAGGAAATAAAAAGCCATACTTTAAAAAACGTGGGAAATTTAACAAAATCCAGAATTACTGTAGGGAAGTGCATGGCTAGGAGCAGGAGTGGAACCCCAGAGGCAACTAGAACACCTTAGGAGTTCTCTTGGGCTTATCAGGTCAGTTTTTGAAGCAAGTGGTAAAGAACCTTTCCCAAAAGGCCGTTTATCTGCACACTTCCTAGAGCGGAGATTTTTCCAGTCTCTGGCAGTGTTTGCTCCACTGGTATCTAAGGCAACAGATACCAGCCCCATGAAATCAGCCCCACTCCTCACTAACGACGTTAGCCAGTCCTGCAATGAAATTTAACCTGTGACACTGCTGTACTTTTCATTTAAACTTTCATTTGGAGAGAAGCAGTGTTTGGAGACCCTGCAGTTTGTCCTGCTAATAAAGACAAGTGTTGGGACCTTTAAAGGTGCCATTCATCTTTTGCCTTTATTAAATTCAATTTTCTTAAGCCCATGATACATCATGAAATTAAGAGTTGACATTCCTGCAGAAACAAAAATATCTATCAAACATAAACAGAAAGGGGGGGGGGAAAGAGGCCTCTATTACCAAGAATTTATGGCTTAAAGTTGATCTGTTTCCACTTTTTCTCTCTCTTTCTTTTTTTTTTTAACAAGCATATGGTTTGTTTTAGATATCTGAAATGTTATTACAGATCTAGAATTTCATTAGTAATTATTATGAAATGGTGAGCACTTAGACACTCATATACACAACCCCCCAACAGACTGTAATGCAGGAAGGCAGCCGGGTGCTCTCTCACGTTTCACAGCAGCTCAGTGAGCTCAACATGCTCAGCTCCATCTCCACTATTCAAGGACCTTCACTGCTTCTTCCCAGGCAGGAAAGGTGGAGGAAAGCAGCACGAAGGAGTTAAGGGCAGAGATTCACTGACACTTCCTTTCTTCTATCAGAGCCTGATCAACCGTAAGTGTTACCTTGAGATCCTCACATATAACCACTCCAACACTGAGTAAATGTTCCAACTTTAGCAGTGATTTGTGCCAGCAGCATTTGGGGCTTCCAAGCCTTCCCTCTGCCCCCACTGCCAGCTTTTCCTTATAGCACAACCAGGAGTTATGGATATGCTAAAATAATGCTGAGGGTGTCCAGAGGCTGCAAATAGCCGCAAGCTACCAGAAGAACAAATGCACTCATTTGAATTTTGCGAGCACTGCAATTAGGTATTTTATTTAGCACTGCAAAGTAAGTTGAAAGGAAATCCAGGATTCAAACCACCACCAATAAATAAGCGGCTTTTTATTTTCCTTTCATTGTTAGAAAAGTTGAACATGTTTTTCTGTTGAGAAATTCTGCACAAGGCTCCCAATTACAGGCATTTGCATTTATATTGTTGGAACAAAGAGCTTCTAAAATCAATATTAACACGCTTAAAGAAAAAAACATCAGCACCCTGTCCCTCCCCTCAGCTGTGCCCCCAAACACAGTAACAATAGGAACCTACAGAGTCAGAGGCTTACACAGATCCATTACCGGGTCCACTCTCTTTACAACAATCCTACATTTACGATTTCAAGGTACTTCAAGCAAATCTATGTGACAGTTTCCTCAGAACTTTTGTCCTTCTGAAAAACCAAGGGTTTAAAAAAAAAAGTTCCAGGTAGAAGTCTCCTGTGCAACCTGACTGTCCCAAGCCAGTGGGGTGAGCAGCAGCAGAGTAACTGTGGAATTGCTAGGGACTTTCTTCTAAGAGGGATTCGAAAAATTCTTAATGGCATGTGAAAGCACTGCTATAAACCCAGCCTTCCCTTACCCAGTCATCCTATATGAAACTCCCTTCCCTTTAACACCAGAGCAGGGATGCACCAATTCAGCTGTCTTGATCTTCTTGCTAATAAAAGAAATGAACAAGCACACAACTATACTTGCTAAACAATTTCCAGTCAGAAAAGAAAGCACCCTAAAAAATTACCCTAATTCCCACTGAGGAATCTTTTTGCTTATCCTTTTGGATCTGGGTACCGCTAACATCATTATAGAGAAAGAATAAAGTGCCCAGCAAGAGCTTCCCAGCTCTCAAAACCTTTTAATCCAAATGCCTATGTACAAAGTGGACAGGGCACACTTCAGGACACAGAGTTATATATTTGAAGACGACCATATGGTCTATTCAGTTCAAAAACTACCAGAGAATAATTTATCCCTTACTCTAACCTCCATGTGAAGAAGTTTAATAAACACAAGAATAAAAGATGCCCATAAAAATCAGAGCTGACTGTTCAAAATGCAATAAAAACAAGCAGAGGCTGTTGAGAGAAACTGATTTTGTCTGATAAGGAAAAGCATAAAACTTCTTACCAAAAGAACCGTTTACACTTTCTAAAAATATAAGGGCAGAAGAGGCAAGAGAGTATCTGTGGAGGGACAGAGCTTCAGCATCAGCTCATTTTGTTCAAGGATTTTTTTCCCCCCTCTCTTTAAAGAAAAAAAAAAGTCATTTTATGCACAAGGAGCTTATTTCTTAAACAAACACTCGTGTTTTTGATTTACACCACGGGCTGCTCCTAAATAATTTATGGCGGGTT